AGGGTGACAAGTGCTGTGAAGGGAGAAGACACAGAAGGCTGGCAGCTCTGGGGGACAGAGCCAGCCCCGCAGACCCACCTGTCCTCTGCAAATGCTGCTTCTTGGTTATTTCTCACAGGCATTGCATTTGTGTGTGGGCCTGTCTAAGCTCCTTTGCTGGACTCTGGCCCACAGCTGAGATACGTTGAAGTCTGGTGCTTGTTGAAGGGAATCATAAAGCAAGAGACACAGGCTGACACAGGTGTGGACTGAGTGGCAGGGCTCTCTGTTACTGTCTCAGTTCTCTCGACTGGATTCCACTCCCATGTGAATCCCACTCTTCCTTTCCAGGAGGGACTGCTGGTCAAGATAACTCATCCACGCAATTTTTTTTTTTTTTAATTTCCAAAGATGCATCCAAACTCACTGAGCAGCAATTGATACTATGGGGCACATGGTGCCTCTTCATGAGGCTTCTGAGGCCTGAACGGCTCTCCAGCTGTTGCTGGATTGTACAGAAGAGCAGTGGCATGTGTGTTTGTGTCTCAGCTGCTCCAGCTCAGTGAAGTCAGAGCAGGCACAGCAGCCTGCAGGCCTTTAGCTTCTAGGTCTCCCACTGTTGGAAGAACAAATGTGCTGCCCTTTTACCCCACTCCTGCCACTAACACACACACTGGCTGTTAGGGTACCTCTGGCTTTGGTGCCCCACAGGCTCATCACAATCCGGGTCCAAAACTAACTCTAGACTTTCACCTCAAAACTTGTGTTACCTCCCTTGATTAGTGCTCCCCATTTCTGTAGATGGCTTCCATCCAGTGAAACCCCTTGGAATCTCACCCCTTCTGCAAGCCAGTTCTCCATCCCAGTAACTTGCTCCCCATTCATTTCACTGACCATCCTGACCAGGCTGGCCTTCCTCACCTCAACACAGCACCCTTGCCCTTCACCTGCACTCCACAGCCTTTTTTGATCCTGCCCACCTGCCCTCTGCAGAGCAGCCCCACCTAGACCACTGCTCATAGACTTCTAGTGGCTCCAGTTACACCTGGGATGAGTGGGTCCTTACAGTCCCTGTGAGGCCCCGTGTGATGTGGCTGCCTGTCTCCCAGGGATTCAGGGTTCCTGGACCCCTTTGTCAGTCATTCATGTCTCAGTACCCCATCTCAGAACAATATTTTTAAATGTATAAAATGAAATGTTATAAATTGTCCATTATATTGAAATACAGGTATCTAAATATTTAAAAAGCTCATATAATATTTGCACCTCTTTATAAGTCATTAACAAGATCCCAGCAGCCGGCCAAATAACTACAATTGGGAAGCAGTGGTGGGAACAGTCTGCAGTACCATTTGAGATGTCTTCATTGGTAAATGCCTTTACAAGTTCATAATCAAAGCAAATGCTACATTCCAGCAAAAGTCAGTGAAGTAGACTATGATAACTTTCCAGACAAAGTTTATTTGCTATTGACTCCTGCCCTTATACACAAGCCTAAGGGTTTCATGGTTTCCCTGGAGGTCAGCTCACCTTGCCTTGCTCTCCCCAGGTGACTCTATGGTCTTTCTGGAATGTTTTCAGTGGTGTCCTGCCTGGCCCACAGACTTCCTTCTACCTGGAATCCCCTTTCCTGTTCCCTCCCCAGAGACACCTGTCCTTAACTTAAGATCCAGCAGGCCCTGCCCTCTCTATCTTGAGGCTATTTGAATGTGGTTCTCAGGGATTGATTGTTTGCTTGTTCATAGTTCCCTGTGAAGGTGAGAGCAGAAGTAGATGTTTCTACATTTTCACCACCATACCTGCCACCCAGCGAAGGGCTGAGACTCAGGGAATTCTCACTCAATTCTCATCAAACAAATGAATAAATTTCTAGCCTTAAAAGACATTTGGAAAACTGTCACTGTTTTCTTTAATTGACATTCATGGAGGCATGGTAAACTGGGCAATTTCTGCATCCTCATTTTCCCCTAACTTTTTAATTACTGTCTTTGCACAGTGGACAATGGAGAAATTTAGCAGTCTTGTCCTTAAACACCACAAGACTGGCAAGGTTAGGGATGCTAGAACTGAGTGAGCAATATGGGCTGAGCATTTGGGGGAACCAGGGTGAATCTGGGCATCTGTCTTCCTTCCAGAATGCACTTGGCCAGAGATGTGTTGGAGTAGAATTCACGTAATGTTGTATACCATATTTGTAAGGCAGTTGGTGGCTGTGAACCCCTGGAGCTTAGGAATTATCAGTTGTCTGGGGTGACCACAGTAGGAGCTAAGATTTGACCAAAATCAAAGTGAAACAAAAACAAAAACCACAATCCTTGCTGCATATACCCTTTGGTTTCTGCTTTCTAAATAATAGACTGCACTCCATGGCCTTTCTCTTCTTTCCTGGAACCTGATGTTTTTGTTCAGCCCCTGACCAGCTTGGAAGCAGGTCTGGGTACAGTGGGTACTGGAGACCAGAAATGGGTCTCTAAGGCCAGGGACAGGAAGCCCCTGTCCTCAAGGGGCTATAGTCTGAATGAACAGATGCTGGGTAAGCAGGGTTTCTACAAGTGAGCCAGTGATACTGAGACTTCCTAAGGATGGACAGTGTTGCCTAGACTCCAGGCCTTCTGGAGCCAACTAGGGAGTCTGGCCCAGTGGGGAACAACTTTAGCCTTCCCTTTGGGTCATCCTGATTTCTTTCTTTTTATTTCATTATTTTTTTGCAGTACTGGGGCTTGACTCAGGGCCTGTACCTTGAACCATCCACTAGCCTTTTTTTTTTTGTGAAAGTTTTTTTTTCAAGATAGGGTCTTGCAAACAATTTGCCTGGGCTGGCTTTGAACCTGATCTCTGCCTCCTGAGCAGCTAGGATTGCAGGCATGACCCACTGGCATCCAGCCAGCCTGATGAATTTCTGATAAGAATGTAATTTGTTTCATAGGAAGCTGGAGGAGGAAGAAGTCACTGAGGCCACTTTCTGTGAAAGGCTGGATGACCTGCTGCAGCAGTCAGACTTTGTGATGTTGGCCGTGCGCCTGACCCCTCAGACCCAGGGGCTGATGGGGAAGCAGGAGCTGCAGCTGATGATGCTGAGTGCTGTGCTTGTCAACATTAGCAGAGGTACAGCTCCAGTCTATCTGAAGGCAGCACAGCTAGAAAACAAGAGCCCCAGCTCTGCCCTCAGCATTTCTCATCCCCTTCCTACCCTGGTTAGCTTCCATGGTCCAAAAAACCCACTTAACTGGTGGCAGGAGAATGAAGGGAAGTTTATGTTTTATTTAGAAAGTCCTGATTTTTGTCTTTGTATTACTTTAACCTCAAGTTAGTAACAAAAAAGATGAGAAAGCTATAATATGAGGTTTTCAGATCAAAGTTTGGGGTCTATTTGGGACAGGCATGGTGTTGCAGTGTGATCCTAATCAAGCAGGATTGTGGGAAGGAATTTTCTGAGTGGTCTCTTTAAAAGACGATTCAGTATTACTTTGATTACTGGGCATTTATGTGCTAGGAGTTACAAGCCCCTGTGCTGTAATCAGATATCATGGTAGGTTGGATGGGGCATTTAGAAAGAAGAAAGATGAAGACCTTTTGAGCTGGCATGATTGTGCGTGAGAAGATCAGATCTGAGGGCAGACATACAGGCAGTGTGCCTCTGCAGTGTGAAGAACCAGAGGACACTGTGTGAGACCTGGCACTGTCAACAACCAATGTGTTGTTCAGCTCAGTTCTCTCATCTTGAAAACAAGGAAGAAGGCAGTGCCTGCCATGAAGTCTCACAGCTGAACTAATTATTGGAGAGTTGTCTGAAAATCCAGACCTTCCAAGTGATAGTGTGTGTTACATGCTTTCAGGAACTTTGAGGATGAGTAAGTGTGACTCAGCCTTAGGGTAGACTTCCTCCAACCACCTCGTAAGTAAGTTGAGATGCTCAGTCCTGACCTTAGAGCAGTGGCTTATAGACAGCTTTCCAACAGGTGCAGTCCTAGCCTCTGTGGCTCAAGCACACCACACCGTTTTGTATTTGAAGTCATGCCACATGGGTGTGTGCATACGTTATGTGGCTAGGGATTAAAACAGGACCTCCCGCATGCACTGGGATGCATCCCCAGTCATGCCCTTGTTTAGCTTTTATTTTATTTAGGTGGTACTGGAGTTTGAACTCAGGGTCTCACGCTTGCTTGACAGGCGCTCTACCACTTGAGCCACTCCTGCAGCCCTCCTCCAGATAGGAGTCTTGACAACTGTTTGCCTGGGGCTGGCTTCCAACCACTATTCTCCAGATCTCAACCGAGTACCTGGAATTATAGGCATGAGCCACTGGTGCCTGGTTTACTTTTTTTTTGAGGTACTGGGGCTTGAACTCAGGGCCTTCACCTTGAGCCACTCCACCAGCCTTATTTTTATGAGACAGGGTCTCTTCAACTGTTTGTCTGGGCTGGCTTCGAACTGCAATTCTCCTGATTTCTGCCTCCTGAGTAGCTAGGGTTTGCAGGTGTGAGCCACCAGCACCTGGCCAGTTTGTTTGTTTTTTATGTGGTACTGGGGCTGGAACTCAGAGCCCCACACTTGCAAAGTGGGGGCTCTACCACTTGAGCCACTCCGCCAGCCATTGTTTAGTTTTTAAATGAAAGTATCAAACTCTGTTTCCTCAATTAAATTCCATGGTGCTTTGAGGGAGGAGGTAGTGTGCAAGACGAGATGGGCCCAGGCTGGAATCAGACAAGGGCTCTGGTTCAGGAAGATGATGGGCAAGTTTGTAATTGTGAGCCTCAGTTTTCTCTCCTGCATCATGAGTCAACTTTGTGGGTTACTTGTGGGTTCACAGAGTATGGGCATGGGGGCTCAGGTTTCCATGAGCAGGACACAGATATGTTAGGCTGTGTGAAGTTCATGCATTCTTTGTCAAACTTTGAATACCTTTGAGCTTGTTATTGGGACAAAATGAAGCTGTAGTTTAAAACTTTAATTAATATGACCAGAACTTCCTTACTTGGCTTGTGTCACTGTGATGATTACAGAGTTGTCTCCTGATGCAGGTCTTCTGGTTGACCAGGATGCCCTCGTAGAAGCGTTGCAGACCGGGGTCATTAAAGCTGCGGCATTGGATGTGACATACCCAGAGCCCCTGCCAAGGTAACAAGACCAGGCAAAGCCTCTGTCTCTCCTGATGAAGGGTGGCAAGGCAGACAGATGCTTCTTCTGGCTTTGCAGACTCACAAATCCTAGATCTGGGGGATGTGGTCACTTATTTACTTATTTATTTCTGTCCTGGGGTTTGAATTAAGGGTCTTGTGCTTGCAAGGGAAGTGCTCTACCACTTCAGCCACGTCCACAGCCTTTTTGCTTTTAGTAATTTTTCAGCTAGGGTTTTGAAATTTTATCTGGGCCAGCTTTGAACTTAGATTTGCCTACCTCTGCCTCCCCTGTAGCTGTACCTCCCATGTAGCCATGTACCACCATGCCAGGGTTGTTCTTTGAAATAGGGTCTTGCTGTTTTGCCTGGGCTGCCCTTGAATTGTGATCCTCCTACCTCTGCCTTCCAAGTAGCTGGGATTTCAGGAGGTAACAACTGTGTCTGGCTGGCAATGTGTGCTCCAGAGTTGTCGTGATGTCCACTCTGCAATGTGCGCATTGTGGAAAAGTCAGGAAAAGTTACCTGCAGGGTGCAGTTATACTTGTGTTTGAGAAGCCTTGTTCATGGAATGCACTAAGTTTTAGTTATTGAAACTGCTACTCCCTTGATTGTTTTCTTAAATCTGTGTGTACTTTCATATTTATTGTTATTTTATCTCATTAGCTTTTTTTTAGGGGGTTACTGGGGATCCATCCCAGGGCCCTGAGCATACAAGGCAAGTACTGTAATGAGCACACTGCCAGCTTTTGTGTTTTGACCCAGTGATCCAGCCTGTTAGGATTTTCTGTCCAGAAAGTAAATTACTATCAGCTGGATGCTTGACATTAAAACCAAATTTAGTTTCTAAGTTTACCAAGAGATATCTCTGATGAAAACAATACTTTATCTAGAACAGTGGCTTTCCAGATGTAGTCAGGTGCGAGGCCAACACCATAAGGACCACTCACCTTTTGTCTCATGTTTTCTCCTGAGTGTGAAGTGGCTTCCTGGAGGCCAGAGATGGGCAGTGTCTTTGCCCTGACAATACATGGAATGAGGGCTTCTGTGTGATTGTATTTGATGTTTCTTCAGTTTTAATTATTAGTTCAGTAAATGTCGATAGAGAGCTTGTCTCCCACCTCTGCAGGAGGTGCTTTTTCCTCTCTTTTAAAATTTCTCCAAACTTTTACCCTGTTACATTAAAATCCTTACTAAAACTTCAAAATATATTAATAGATAACATATATACAAGCAAGCACTTTTTTTTTTGCAGTACTGGGGTTTGAACTCAGGGCCTACACTTTGAGCCACTCACAGTAATCCTAGTAATCCTACTTAGGAGGCAGAGATCAGGAGGATCGAAGTTTGGAGCCAGCCAGGGCAAATAGTTTGCCAGACCCTATCTTGAAAAACCCTTCACAAAAAAGGGCTGGTGTGGCTCAAGTGGTAAGAGCACCTGCCTAGCCAAAAAAAAAAAAAATAATAATTTCAATACAAATTGAGACATACTAGAAATGTACTGAAGTTGGAAAATTTTAGTTATAAATCTACCCAAACACTAAAAGTCACCTGATCATTCTGTTGCCTGTTCTGTGGAAATGAACTTTTTATGAGATTCATTGATAAGTCACAGGTAAATATTAGGTTATAACCCACACTGCAATTCAATCTAAAAATTAGTATAGTCCTCATGTGGAATTATTTTTGTGACCAAGAGCTTTAATAGTTACTGTATAAATAACTTAAACTTTTGATACCCATATTAATTTCTAGTCAGATGTGTTTAAAATTTTCATCCTGATTTTGAGGGAGAAATTTTGTTGCTGCTTATCACAACTGTGCAAAAATAATTTAGAAGTAGGAAGGTTAGGGTTATTTAGTGAGACTATAAAAATATTATTTTCATTACAAAGGATTGCTCCAGATCATTTTTAAGAAGAAAAGACCTCATTTGTCAGTGGTGCCAGGAATCACCAAGACCACCTTCAGACTCAGTGACTCCACCAGAGGCCTCAAAGACCTCAGAAAAACTGTCAGACTCAGTTATGGTGCATTACAGTGAGAAGAAATAGGGAAGGCAGCAGAGACAAGGCTCAGGGGCCAAGAGGTGCCAGGCATGAGCCTGCAGTTACTCCACAGTTGTGTGGACAGTATCGATTCCTTCCAGCAATGCTCTGTGACACACGTGGGAGGTGTTTCCCCCGGGGAAACTTCCCTGAGCACCTTTGGGTTCAGTGGTTGGCTGTGTAGACCTGGAGGGCCTGCAGGTCTAGCCTTAGTTACTTGGTCTCAGGCCTCTGCAGAAGTCAAGCTGATACAGGTGGCCCAGGTGAATAAAGCAGGTATTCATGGTAAACCACAAGGCTGACACCACTTGAGGGCTCAAGTATAAGAAGACATTCTTACCAAGCAGGTGTCTAAAGGACTTGCAGGTCATCTGTCATGAGCCAGTCAAGGGCAGCCTCTGTTTGGAAGGTGCACGTATTCAGTACTCAGTTTGCCTGGTGAGTTAATTCTTTATTATGCAGCCCTAGGCTCTTATAGCACAACATTCACATTTATTTGAGCATCTACATTTAGCACAGTATTTTTCTATATGGCAGATATAGAAATAGCATCAGTATGCCTTACACTTGGAGCAGACAGTGTGGGGCAGAAATAGATTTAATGCAACAACTAACTCATCCTATAAAGCAATTGCATGCATTCATTTGTTTCTTTTTGACACAGGGTCTCACCATGTTGCCTAGGCTGGCCACAAACTCCTAGGCTCAAGTTATCATCCTGTTCTAAGCTCCTGAGTAGCTGGGACCACATGTGTGCATTAACACACTTAGGGTTCGTTTCATGTGTATGTGTGTATGTAGTACTGGGGTTTGAATTCAGTGCCTTGTGCTTGCTAGGTGGGCATTCTATCACTTACATTATGCCCCCAGCTCTTTTTTGCTTTTATTATTTTTTAAGTAGGGTCTCACATTTATGCCCAGGCCAGTATGAACCATGATCCTCCTATTTATGCCTCCCATGTAGCTGGGATGACAGTTACAGACCATCATGCCAGCTTTTTATTGGTTGAGAGGGGTCTCTCTAACTTGTTGTCCAGACTGGCCTTGAACCACAATCCTTCCAATTCCCTCCTCCCCAGTAGCTGGATTACAGGCATGAGCCACTGTGCCTAACTCATTTTTGTACTTTTGAACAAGTTTGATTACTTACTTTTCCCCTTGATCTATTGCTTTTATACTGTAGGCTGAACTTGTGCAGAAGTATTTAGCAAAGGAATCAGGTGATATTTTGTTAAATCTAGTTCTTCCATTTTCCACAAATATCATATTCCAAAGAGGCTTTAGCTCAGTCTCCCAATACAATTGATCACCAATATCAGTAATGCTATGTGCCTTATTTACATGGGGCAGTTGAGTCTTACCAACAATGCCAGTTGTACAATATCCCAGTATGGTCATGGTACAATTCAATTTCATTACAGAACAAGGCATTAAGAATTTCAGAGGTAGGTTGGGTGTTGTGCCTCAAGCCGTAATCCTAGATACTTGAGAGACAGAGATTGGGAGGATGGCAAGCCTATGCAAAAAGTTTGCAAGACCCCCATCTCAACCAGAGGCTGGGTACAATTGAGCACACCTGTCATTCCCAGCTATGTGGGGAAGCACAAATAGGAGGATCACAGTACAGGCCAGCCTAGGCATAAAGTGAGACCCTATCTCAAAAATAACCCACATGAAAAAGGGCTGGCAGAACCAGGTACACCTGGCTCACATTTATAATGCTAACTATTGGGAGGCTGAGATTGGGAGGATCATCGTTGGAGGCCCACCCAGGGGAAAAGTTTGTGAGACTCCATTCTCAACAAAAAGTTGGGTATGCTGGTGTGTGCTGATTTTCCCAGCAATACAGGAGGATTGTGGTCCAGGCCAGTCAGGGCAATAAGTGAGACCCTATCTCTAGAATAACCAGAGCAAAAAGGGCTGGTGTGTGGTTCAAGTACAAAACTCTGAGTTCAAACCCCAGTATTGCCAAAAAAAAAAAAAAAGAAAATTTAAAAAATTACAGAGGTATTTTCTATGCTTTCCCAAGAGAACCAGGCCTTGCCTATATACCAGATGTTATTATGGACAGGTGTTGGTACAGCTGGCCATGATTTTGTTATTTCTGGGTTCCAAGTGAGTTGGAATGAGACTGGTTTTCCATGTTTACTGGTATGTAGCAGGCCCTCTCCTACTTCCTTTAGGGAAGACACTGGTGTGTTTTGCATAGTTCCCACCCCCATGACTGTAGTGCAGAATGGGTCTTATTTGAATCAGTACTGATAACATTACTGCATCAATGTAAATTACCATTACCCCCCAGAGAACTTTCAGAGGGTTGGGGGTTCCTGAAGTGCTTCTTAACCCTCAGCAGTTGGGGCGGAGGGCCACCATTAGCCTTTGTGTAAAAATGGTCAAGAGACCTTGTGGGTTAAGGTTTCATGCCTCTTTCAATGTTGGGAGTCATTACACATCATGATGTCCCTGCCTGCCTGACCCACTTCCCTGCCTCTCATCACCTTTCCAGGCGGATCTCCATTCCTTGCCTTTGTCATGGAAGTATCCCTTAATCTGCTAATCAAGTTAATGAATCTTTTCTCTCTGAATGCCTCTCTCATTAAAAGTGAATTCAGAGCTGGGGGCTGGTGGCTCATGTCTGTAATCCTAGCTACTCAAGAGGCAGCTAGCAGAAGCGTGGTTTGAAGCCAGTCCTGGGCCAGTAGTTTGGGAGACCCTATCTTGAAAATACCCAACATAAACCAGGGCTGGTGGAATGGCTCAAGTGCCAGAGCACTTGACTAGAGTGCCTGCCTAGCAAACACGAGGCTCGAAGTTCAAACCCCAGTACCACAGACAGACAGACAGACAGACACACAAAAGTGAATTCAGCTGTGTCATAACGGCAGACCGGCACCTGTCTGTCTAAAGCCATTTTCTGCCTATGGGAAGTGTATCTAATCCACCGTGTGGTGCTGATGGCCTCTGTGCAGTGCAGTTGGGGTACACATGTGGACGCCCACACGCTGGCTCTCTCAGACCAGTTGCATGCGTGCTGCTTACTCACAGGCAGAACTGGTGTGAGGGCACCACAGGGCCTCCCATCGCCTCCCCTGTCTCAGAGGGGGTGTTTCCCAGAAAACTGAAACCAGAGTGTGAAGTTCGAGAGGCCAAACAGCTCTCAAAGGCTGTCCTCAAATACTGTCCTCCAGAGCTCATCCTCTGTCGAAGTTGAGAACATCACTGTGACACCTCATATTGGAAGTGCAACTTACCAGTCCAGACGACAGATGGAAGACGTGCTGGGAGGCTCCTGGCTTCTCTCCGTGTACCATTCCTAGTGAAGTGTACATTAACAAGGAGCCACGACCTATTTTAAAACTGCCTACCGTTATATGATGCTTGAATCTGTCCTCAGACATGTACATTTCTTCACGTTGAAAACCTTGAAAAGCTCTTCGTCGTCTATAGCGTTCCTCTTCTTTTTTATTGGTGGTCTGGGGTTTGAACTCAGGGGCTCATTCTTGCTAGGTAGGTGCTCTACAACCTGAGCCACACCCCAGCACTCGAGCTCTTAGCAAAGCCAAGTTCCCCCACTTCGCATCCCGGGTTCTGCTTTTCCAGACCCCAAGGCTTAGAGCAGCAGCTGAGAGCGGCAGGGGCGGGGCCGCACCGCGCTCGCCCCGCCCTCACCGTCCCTCCGGACCAATCCGCGCCCAAACGCCCGCGCCCCGCCCACCAGCCTGCTCACACCGCCTCGCCCTCGAGTCCCGTCTTTGCCCGGCCCACAGTACAGCCACCGCCCCGCCCACACGCAAGCCGTCGCCCCGCCCACACGCACAGCGCCACTTCCCATCCCGGTTCTGCTTTTCCAGACCCCAAGGCTTAGAGCAGCAGCTGAGAGCGGCAGGGGCGGGGCCGCACCGCGCTCGCCCCGCCCTCACCGTCCCTCCGGACCAATCCGCGCCCAAACGCCCGCGCCCCGCCCACCAGCCTGCTCACACCGCCTCGCCCTCGAGTCCCGTCTTTGCCCGGCCCACAGTACAGCCGTCGCCCCACCCACACGCACAGCCACCGCCCCGCCCACACGCAAGCCGTCGCCCCGCCCACACGCACAGTCGCCCCGCCCACACGCACAGTCGTCGCCTCGTCCATACGTCCCATCGGCGTGCGTGGTGCGTTGTGGCTGTTGTATGCTGTTCACTCCGCGGCATGTACGCTGCGGCCGGCGGCCTGTGGTGCTCCAGCGCCGGGCTGCGGGCCTTGCGGCGCATCTGCGATGCCGCACTCCTTCCTGGACGCGCGCGAGGCCTGCACGGTTCTGCCGTCTCCTGTGGCAGCAAGAACTTGCTCAAGAAATTTGCCTCGAAAACCAGGTATGCGTTGGCGGTGTTCGCGGGCACAGGTGTCCACGAGCGGACAGGGAGGTGTCGTGCGAGGACAGGTGTGCTCGAGGGGACGGACGGTGTCCGCGGGGGCTTTTGTCCACGGGGGACGGTGTCCGCGGGGGTCGGGTGTCCATAGCGGGCAGGGCAATGTCCTCAGGGTTTGGTGTCCATCATAGAGGTCAGGGCAGTGTCCCCAGAAGTCGGATGTCCATAGGGAAGAGGGCAATTGTCTGCGCAGGGACAGGTGTAGGCGTGATGCTGCGTTCTTGTTAGATGATTGACGAATCACCAGCGGTTCCACCCTTAACCTTTAACAGTTTCGTGTTTCTATCCATCTCTTTTCTGTTCCTTTTATACAATTTTAAGTCTTCTGAAACCTCACATTACACCAGGCGTGTGTGTTGGGTTAAAAGAAAAAAGCAACAAAGGGATAAATATATTCATTTTGACTCTTGACAACGTCTTTGTCAGGAGAATAGTTTCCTCCAATAAAGGGAAAGAAGAAAGAATTTCCTTTCCATATTAGTGCTCTTTATGTGGCCTTAATTTGATGGATAACGTTTGTTATAATTATGTGGGATTTTTTTTTTTTTTTTTTTGGTGGGACTGGGATTTGTACCCAGGGCTTCCCACTTGCAAAGCAGGTGCTCTACCTCTTGAGCCACACCTCTAGTCCACTTTTCTCTGGTTATTTTGGAGATGGGTTCTCATAACTATTTGTCTGGGCTGGCCTTGAGCCTCCATCCTCCTGATCTCAGCCTCCCAAGTAGCTAGGGCTACAGGCATGAGCCACTCGTACCTGACCTGATAATTAGTTTTTTAATGATAAAAGTATGGTAAGATATTTTGATTTTCACACCATTTTAGGTTCCACTAAGCAAGTTAAGTATGTATTTTTTTGTTTTAATGAGCTATTTTAAGGGAGCTTTCAGATTTATAGAAAAATTGCAAAGACAGGGAGGTGTGGCTCATGTGGTAGAATGTTGCTTTGCAAGTTGAAACTTCATGTTCAAACCCCAGACCCACCCAAAACAGAAAAAATTGCAAAGATAATAAGGAGTTCCACTGTATTGACCTTGGGTTCTCTTGTATACCCTTAAGTTAGTAGTGCACGTGTGTTACAGTTACTGTTAATTGAGCCCATACCTTATCCATCCGCCTTTCCCAGAGTCCTTCCTTGTGTAGGAACCCATCCAGGACCACACTGTGTTCTTGGGCTTCTCTAGACTGACAGTTTCTCACTTTCCCTTTCTGTTTTTGGCAGCTGTCACAATTTTGAGGAATACTGGTTGGGTATTTCGTAGGTGTCCTTTGGAATTTGTCTGTTTTCTCATGATAATTTGGGGAGGAAGCCAGAAGAGGTAAAGTGCTTTTTCACCCCATCATATCAAGAGTATATCTAGCCAACATGATTATCATTGTGCTGGAGCATGTCAGGTATCTGTGCAGTGACTCTTTCCTGCTTTCTGTACTGTCTTCATTGGGAGGAAATCTCTGTGTACAGCCCCTGCCTAAAGAGTGGAGAGTTATGCTCACAAATTATCTGGAGTTCTGCATGTTGTTAATTCATCATCAGTGTGAACTCATGGATTATAATCCACTGTTACTTATTTTACTCAAAATGTTCCATCTTTGGCCACTAGGAACCCTCTCAGCAATTGTCTCTTTGACATACCCCATCATACGGGGTCTTGCTGTGAGTGTACCCATGTGGTTTAACACCTCCTTACTTTCTGGCCCTATAAAATGCTCCAGGTTCATCTTACATATTCCCTGCTCAGCCATGGAATCAGCCATTCCTCCAAGGAGCCCTGGTTATTGGAAGGTATTATTGGAAACTGTATCTGAGTGCCAGGTGTGCTCAGTATATTCACTTTAATATAAACATTTTTTATGTAATCACTCCACCTTGAGTGCACAACATGGACTATTTAGCTTCATCTTGCTCACTTGCAACTCCTCTCTCCAACATTGAGAAGTTAGGCTCTGCCCTCTGGATCACTCAGTCAACTGATGTAGTGCTTTCATGTTGCTTGGTGATTTATTTACAGTTCCTCTTTCTTTACCCTTGAGACTACAGATAGACTTAAGTCAAAATTACAAGGTTGAATTAAAACCTCTGTCCCATCCCCTCAGCCATGTTATTGTTCACTAAACATTGATTTCTTAGGTCCCCATTAACTTGCCTTCACATCCAGGTAACTCCATAGGGTTGGGGTGTCCCAGCCTCTCAAGGTCATAACTCTTTCTTCAAAATTTGCTGTCGGTATCCCATATAATTTTTGTTTTTTCCTCATAGAAAGAAGTTTTGGTATGAAGGTCCTTCTCTGGGGTCTCACTTGGTAAGTATTCAGCTACAGCTATGGAATTTCTACTTGGAGGGGGGTGTCTGTGTGGGTGGGCTAAATGTCACTACAGCAGGAATTTCCACCCTTCCAAAGAAAAAGATTACATTGTCGAATTTTTTTTACTACATATGCTATATTACTATAGTAATATAGTACTATATTGGCAGTACTAGGATTTGAACTCAGGCCTTGTGCTTGCTAGGCAGGTGGTTTAACACTGCCCCAGCCTAGAAATGTTCTTTTATCAAATTCTAATATGCTTAGTTTTTAGTATATATGCTGGAAACATTTATATGGTATGTGATTCCAGTTAGGAAAAACAAGTATATTGTATATACTAGAAATGTACTCAATTAAATACTTTAACCGCTTGAAGGACTGGGGATGTAGCTTGAGTGGTAGAGTGTGCACAAGGCCCTGGGTTGGATCACCAGCTCAGAAAAATACAGTTTCCAGGCTGAATTTTATGGTATGTGATTACAAACAAACATCTGTTTGAAAGAAATAGCCAAAATTGGCAGTACTTTGAATCTTGGAGTAGTGCTGTATAAAATCTGAAAAGATCTGGGCCTGTGATTAGACAGAAGGGGCCAAGGATGATATTTCTGTCTGCCTGGTTGTCAGCTGAGCCCTTCCACAGTCTCTGTGTGTAAGTGAAGTTGGTGACAGTTGTGTTCTCCTAGCCCTTGGTGTGTTCTTCTTTTGGAGACTCAGAAGCCATCCAAGCTGGAATTTCTCATGAAGAGTACCTCAAAGAAGGCCAAGAAGGAAGACCATGTGCGCCTGAGGGCCCTGAATGGCCTTCTCTACAAAGCGCTGACAGATTTGCTGTGCACCCCTGAAGTGAGCCAGGAGGTCTATGACCTGAATGTGGAGCTCTCCAAGGTAGAGTGCAGGGCCAAGGGGCAGACCTGGGAGGCCTCCAGCAGTCTTGTCTGACCTCCTCATTCCAACAGTCTTGGTTTGGGTCAGAGGTGGTGCTGAGTCTGAGTCATAAACAAATCTGATCATTTAAGTCCTGGAGGTCACAGAGGGCACCTGTGCCATGTTGTAGAGGCAGCCAGTTTCTCTCCACCCAGGTGGGGGCTGTGAGCACATGGCACCTGGCAGATTGTCAGACACTGAGCCAGTTTGATGAGATAGAATGTTGGAAGAAATGTGGGGATGCCTGGAGGTGTGGACATGCTGCCTGTATTCCGGCATTAAGATCAAGGAGGGTGGAACCCTCCCAGAGAGAGTTGAGGCAGAGGGAGAATAGGGGGCAGTTGTCATTTCAGATGAACATCTCAGAAAATGGCTTTGAAGCGAGTGCCCTGGGTCAGGGTTGCTTGCTGACCTGGTGGTTTTCAGGACAAGGAGAGGAGGGAAAGCCGGTTTTGTTCCTGTGGCCTTCCTGCCCTGACTGCTCAGCAGCAGGAGGTGGTGGCCTCTGCTGGTCCTCACAGGAATGGCATCCTGGGTGGGAGAACACAGCTATAGTTTTCACCTCCAGAGCGCTGTCTGTGGGGACAGTGCTGTACACTAAAGAGTGTCTTGTGGTTGGGTGGGTCTCAGGTTTCTCTCACTTCAGACTTCTCAGCCTGCCGCGTATACTGGAAGACCAGTTTCTCTGCACCCCAGAATGAGCACACAGAGGCCGTGCTGCAGAGGAGTGCTGCACACATGAGGTGATACTGCTCGTACCTTAAGTTGCCTGCTGTTTCACTTGAAGGTGGACTTTTACATTTTCCCATGAAAGATTTTGGATTTTAAGGAAAATTGTGGAAGCACTTTCTTGAATTTCAGAGTAGAATTTCCATTCTACTGAGCTTTTCTCAAAGTTTTGTAGGGATCCAAAAATCCTTTCAAGGGCCTTGAGGTTAAAACTATTTTCCTACTAGTAGGGTATTTTGCCTTTCTCATTGTGCTGAGGCTCTCACTGTGAAATACAATGCCACTTTCTCCCAAAGGTATTGTAGATGAAACAGCAGAAAATATTAATTGTACTAAACCTTGACCCTTGAGTGCATGTCTTTTTAACATCCTGTGGTGGAAAGCCTGCTGCCAAGGTCTGGCTGTCGCAGGAATGCAGCCTGTGGCTGTTCAGATGCAGGTTTTTGGCAGTTGTTTTCTCAAAGATGCGTGAAGTGATCCTGCCACTTCAGGGCACACAGGTGGCCATACTCTGTTTTTTGGTGTTTTTTTTTTGTCTTTTTTTTTTGGTGGCAGTACTGGGGTTTGAACTCAGGGCTTTACGCTTGCTAGGCAGGCACTCTTCCACTTAAGCCTCTCCACCAGCTACCTGTACATTGTTATTAGTAAAATGTCACCTTCCAAGTAAAAATTAGAATTTTAGAAATCAGCATCCAGTGTTGTGAGTATGTAGCTTTTGAGCATGTGAGGCACTTCTGGTGGGAGCTGTGACTTTAACAAGTCCAGTGCATCCCGACAGACTGTGTGGGGTTCTGAAACCTGTGCAATTGCAACTTTACACCCTGCACACACACAGTGAAGTTCCATTCACCTGCCAGAGACTGGTGGGTTTAAGGTTGCAGTCTTTAATTTGTTGGGTTTTGCATAGGATCAAAGAAGGTCCTCACATTTCTGGGGCTATTATTAATATGTTCTCCTTTCCTAATTTCTTACCTGTTTTAACCAAAACAGCAACAGAATTCAGATGCAGTGGTGAGACCCCAGCTGGCTTCTGCCAAGCTAGGCCTCAGGGAATGTGCAGAAAGCAAACAAAGCCACTGTCCTCAGTACTTTAGAAAAATTTGTAGTTATTTTTCAACAAAATTGTCCATATCAGCCTTAAGTTCAAACCTCATTTCCACCAAAATAATAACAGATAAAGCTTTTGGGGTTTCTCAAAAACTTCCAAGAGTGTAAAGAAGCCTCACTCACACTTGCTAGGCAGGTGCTCCTACCACTTGAGCCACTCCCCAGTCTACATGTAAAGGATCCTAACATGAAAACACGAAAAATTTTGAGTTGCTGAGTTGGGTGATGATAAAGAACTTACTTAGATTTCTCAGTCTCAGAACACAAGTCCAGCCTGCCCAGCAGTGTTCAGAGTTGGACATCTCCTTCCCACCTCCACTCCTCTCTGCTGTTCTTGACCCTCCCTTCGTATCTCACTCCATCTTGGAGGGACACTTATCCAGACAGAACTTCAAGCAGTCCCATGCTATCTTGTGCTCTCTGCATGGGTGACAGACAGTATCTGCAGTTACCCCTGAGATTGTCTAAAACTGTCAAAGAATGGTCAGTTTCATCTTTCACTATTCAATGAAACCAAGAAAGTGAGAGATTTCAACAAGTTTTGAAATAGTGGTATTTTCTGAATTCTGGGTCATCAGAAAATTCGGCTGAACTGAATGTCCTCCTCCCAACTCTTGAAAGATCATCCAGGGTTTGGTCAGGGGATGTGCCCTAATGCCTGGTTGTCTGTGTCACATGACTGTGAGCTATACAAAGATCTTTCATCTCTAGCTTGTGGGGATGTGCAGGTGGAGTGCCATTGAGTGTCCACTGAATGCAGGACAGGTTTTTAGCATCCAAACCCTGTAACCAACAGCCACAGGTGGTGTCTTACATTCAAACCAGGTTGTTCAGAATTAAGAACAAAGCTAGGTGTGGTGGTACATGCCTATAATCCCCCCTACTTGGGAGATGAGAGTTAGAAGGAGCTCTAGTTCGAGGCCAGACTGGGCAAAGTTAGTGAGATTCTTTCTCAAAAACAAAATAAAAGAACAAAGGGGCTGAGGGCATGGTAGATTAGGTAGAGTGCTTTCCTAGCAAGTGTGAGGTCCTGAGTTTAATCCCCCCCAAAACTGCAAATGAATGAATGAGGGAGAGAGAATGGTGTGTTCTGCATCCTTTTGTGGTATGGTTGTGTTTTGGGGTTGATGTTTTCCCTCTCTGTTGTACTGCTCTCCCCTTCCCCCTTTCTTCCTCTCCCTTCTCCTCTCAAGACAGTTGCCCAGGCTAAGTCTAGAACTCCTGGACTCAAGTGATCCTCTTGTTCTAGCCTCCTGAGCATTGGGCATGCAGGTGTGACACTGAGCTGCCTCATTTTCACCTTTGAGTAACGGGACGAGCAAGTCTCACTTCCAGCCTTGTAGTTAGTTTTATGTAGCCTGTGTGGACCAGTAAATATGGTCCTGCAAAGTATGTTTTTTCCTCAGGCACCTTTTGATGTCCCAGCAGACCCTGAGGAATATGCCACCAATAGTGTTTGTTCAAGACAGAAAACACGCAGTTCTGGCTGAGGTAAGGCTGAACTGTTTATACTATGAACTTCTATGAGTAACTTTAAATTAATTTTTAAGTACTCAAAAGATGATGCAGCTTTTAAAGATCAGGGAGGCCTTCACGCTCCCTGTCCCCAGTCCAGGCCTTTTCTGGTATTAAGAGTTTATGCTGTAACTGATCAGTATGTGAAGTTGCTGTTTCTCAGTTTGTAAACTTGGAGTGGCCAGTGTTCCTCTCCTGTGCTTGCCCCACCTCTCACCTTCCTCTCTTCATTGTGGTCTGTCTGTGTCCTCACACCATACAGGCCTTAAGATTGAGGTTCTGGCTGGCACAGTGGCTGAAGTGGTAGAGCTTGAGCTGTAGCAAGCATGAGGACCTTAGTTCCAATCCCAGCACCACCACCAAAAAAAAAAAAAAAATTGACATATGCCCTGTGACTGTGTTTTTCTTACTTTAGGGGGAGCTTTATTATAAAGGTTCAAAACCTTTTTAAGTGGGCAGTAGTTATCTGGTAGTTATTAAAGGGTGTTTCACCTCAAAAATGTTTACCAAAAATTCAGCAAATAATGTTTACAGTATTATATCTAGGTAATTATTACTCACTGAAGGACCAGATGTGATTTGGCTCCACAGATGAAAATACCTTATTTGACCTGTTTGTCTTTTGTTATTCATTGCATAGCTAGCACTAAAAACATTGTGAGTAGTGACTCTGAGAGGTGAGGGATTTCCCCTGCTAAGAGAGAAGCTGAAGAGTGAAGTGGAGTGCCTGCAAGGCCTTAGTGTGGCTCACCTATGCTGGTGCCTGAGGCCACGACACAGGGCCACCCTGGGTACCTGGTGGAGCACCCGCACTGAGCTCCTACCCCTGGCTCCTGCTATCCCTGGAAGGGGAAGTCCCAGGTGCTTTGCAGGTCCCTCCAGAAACATCCTGGATAGGGGAAGCCATAAGCTGTGCTTGATGTGGGCTGCTGTGCTAGGAGGTCTGAAGTGTAGGTCCTTGCCTGGTAGAACATCTCTGGAACAGCAGAGCTGTGTTCACATAGTTTGCAGAGCCCATTGAGGTCTGGGGTTCTGCTTGTGTGGGGAACAGCCTGCCTGCTGTGTCAAATAACTGCAATTTTCAGCTCAGACTGTGGCACAGTGCCACTGCTACTCCATGATGGAGGCCTGAGTGTGGCCCCCACCATGTGCTTGCCTTTCAGATGGATCAGTTGCTGGCAGTTGCTGACTTTGGACCATCAGATGAAAGGGATGACTTGGCAGGAGATGATTTGAGGTGAGGCTTGTGGACATGTTTCCATTCCTTGGGGCAAATGCCTAGGCATAAAGTTCTGTTTTCCATGGTGGCCAAATAGTCTGTGTCCCCACCAGCCTGCATTGCCTCCTTGGTACTTGCCCATGGGCCCAGTACATATCCACATATAGTGGCCTGTGAATGCCTGACCACAGGTACACAGGTGGTGTTAGATGCATCTGTGAGCATCAGCAGTGGTCCCTGCAATTGGAGACGGTGCTGTGCTGGGGAGGCTGACAGGCAGCAGTGCTGGAAGCGTTGTTGTCTCTAGGAAGAATAGGGCCGGAGCAGAGGTGGCCAGTGGAGCACAGGTAGATCTCGGAGGAAACAAGCCTGAGGGAGTGAGCTCATGGGTGTTTTTAGAGGGACCCTGTTGTAGGCATGGCACACCCAGGGAAGAGCAGTATCCATCCCTGGCCTGTTGGGAACCACAGGGCCCAGCAGAAAGTCTGCAGTTCAACCATCCTGCAGATACCAGAGCAAAGGCCCGGAACTGCTACCGGCCTGGCTTGTCTGGGCCAGAGGGAGAGATAGGTCAGGGTGCCTGACCCAGGGCTCTGAGACCTTCTAGATCCTCAGAGAGTCAGAAACTCAGGTGTTTCTTCCAAGAGTGAACCATCTTTTGGTGCACCAGTGGTCCGAGTGACAGCTCAGACCCACCTGTGACTCTGTGCACTACCATGTTCATGAGGAAAGTCGGGGGTGAACCCAGCAGCAGTACCTGGTGACTGTCCGGCAGCTGCACAAGGCTGTGCTACCCACTGGTTCTGATGGTGGAGAACTAACATTTGAATTGCCTTTCTACATCCCTGCTCCCAGCCTTCCTCAGACCCATGCATAGGAGTGTGCACATGTGGGAGATGTAGGATGCACCTTGGGCTGGCATTTTGGGCAACAGCGTTGTGGTTTGAGGTTTGACTCATGCCCAGTGTGAAGGCTCTGCTTTTCCCTACAGGAACCCTGGTGCTCTGTTACCACCTGACTCCCCAGGATCTGCTATGAACTCAAGTCTGTGTGGGATCGACCATGAGGCACTCAACAAACAAATAATGGAGTACAAACGGGGGAAGGAGAAGGGGCTCCGGGGAGTGAGCCTGGTTCCACGGCTGTTGGAGCAGGAGCAGGCTACTGGGCTGATACAGTGGGTAAGAAGGAGAAAAAAGGTCCCACCACACCAGGACCGAGATGCTTCCCCCAGAAGCTTCCTTTCGGGTGAGGAGGAGGAGGAAGACAATGAGGATGGCACCCTGGGGTGTGGATGTCAAACCCAGGAAGCAGAGGATGAGTGGAGAGTAGAGGCCAGAGGTGATGTGGTGCAGCGAGACCCTTGTGGCAGAACAGGGCAGGGGTAGGGCAAGGCCTCAGCACTGCCCACCTGTACCTGCTGGACATTGCGTGAGGTTCGTGGTCTGTACTTGAGAGACAGTTGGTGAGGTGAAACCTTGGTGGGTTGCCCATTCCCCTGCTGCTGGACTTTCAGTAGTTCTTCCATGTATCTAAACTTTTACACTTTCTACCAAAACTCACTGTTTTTCTCTTAACGCTCTGCAATAAAAAATATAAATGGTTATCTTATCACTGACCCTCACAAATGTGACGAGAGTAAAATCATGTCTCAGAGTTACCAGTACAGGCAGCTCCACCACAGAGCCAGACCTGGGCTGTAGCTACCAAAGGACTGAGGACAGAGTCTACAGGCCCACCTTTGCAGACCTTCCCAAGGTGGTGTTCAGTGTTGGTCCTAATTATGGCCTCTTTAGTACGGCTTTGTGCTCTGGTTACACCTTCTGATTGAAGAGGAAGTGTGCGTCATTGAGTTCGGGGGACTCCTGAGTGATCCTGGCTGTGACCAAGGTCCCTAAAGTAGTGACAGACTACTTGGTGCCTCTGTCCAGCTGGTGTTTTTTCTAAAATCCACCCATGTGTTAATAGGCTTGGTTTTTGCCCTCTAGAGTGTGTGACTCTTGGACACTAGAGGGAACAGCTTCTTTCTGTTGTGCTGAATTCTTTCTATCAGCTCTGAGGTGAATCATTTTACTCTTTACCAGAAGAAAAAACTCAGCTGGCCAGGTTACTCAGGAATGTAACCCTAGCTACTTGGGAGGCAGAGATCAGGAAGATCATGGCTGAAGGAAAGCCTAGGCAAATAGTTCACATCTTCAAAATAACCAGAGCAAAATGGACTGGAGGTGTTGCTCAAATGGTAAGAGCACCTGCTTTGCAAGTATGTAGCCCTAAGTTAAAACCCCAGTCCACAAAAAAAGGAAATGGATTCCATCTTGGAACTTACTTTTGGTTTGTTTTAAATAGAAAATCAGCAACAAAAGGTGCAAAAAGTGGAAAATGTGGTGCTTAGACTAGGGAAGAAGGATGTTTATGGTGTGAGCTGAATGAGAATGCAGAGCTCTACCTTGCTCAACCTCAGCTAGGAGCACAATTTGAGCTGGGCCCCTCTCTGCACATTTCTTCAAATGACTGAAGGTACCACAGTGACAACCAGTGACATCCAACAACTACTAGTGGTAACCAGCAAGTGACATCCAGCACTTCCAACATCCAGCAGAACAGCTAACAGACACCAGTGACAACCAGCAGTAACTAGTAACAACTGACAACTACCAGTAACAGCCAGCAGCTATCAGCAACCAGTAACAGGAAGAAGCCACCAGTGATAGCCAGTAGATAGGGGTCTGCCCAGTACAAATGCCTTCTTCTCCAGCCTTACCTAGTCCGCAGCTATAAACATCTCTCACGTCAGGGGTTATAGAGCATATATGCATTGTTTGCAGATTGTGTGCCTGCTAATTCAGCTGCTCACTATTGTGGAGCAGCTGTCATTCAAGGACCCACAGAGAGAGCAATTTGGGTCCCAAGTCAGTGCACGCTCTCAGCTGAGGTTGATCCAGGTGGCCATCTGCATTCCTGTTTCACCTCACTGTAAATAAGCATCTGTTCCGTGGTCTAAGTGCCACATGTTTCACATATTTGCTCCTTTTGTTGGTGGTTTTCCTGTTTAAAATGTCTTCCAAGTTGGGCTGAATTCATGATGTCAGCCCTGTGCAGGCCCATGTCTTGTTAATCTGACATTTGCCTAAATTCTAGTTGTATATTCAAGCAGAATCTGGTAGTGTGCTACATGTAGCTGTAGAATGCTACACCAAGACACCTGCACACATGTCTGTAAGAGTGTGAGTGCTTTGTGTGTGTCTTGTGCATGCATGATTTGAGTGTCACTGTATGTGTGAGTCTGGGAGTGCATGCATGAGTGCCTGTTTTGTGTTGGTGTGTGTGGACATATGGATGTATATGTGTGACTGCCCACATGTGCATGGTGTGCGTGCATGTGTGCACAGCTGTGTCATGTGTTTGGTGTGTGAGTGCCCTGTATACATATGCATGAGTGTGTGAGGCTTGAGTGTGCTATGTGTACGTGAGCTGTTTGGCCTGGGAGGTTGGAAGACTCAGTAGTGATATGCCACAGAAGGCTGTATAGAGCCCATAGCTGGCACTGTGCTGACTTGCCTGATGTCTGTCCTGTGGGTTTGGTTGTCTTGGGCAGCCTCAGCTCCATGAAGGCTGGGAGAAGAATCTGGAGGATGGGATCCCATGTTGTTGAAAGCTGTCCTTTTCTGGATAGGCCTTTGCCCTTTGCCATCAGGAAATCAGAAGGTTTTGAGAATGTCACTGTGGAATCTGTGGCCTCCTGGGTCACTGTCTCTCCCTCTCATGGGACACTAGTCTCTGAGTTTGTGGTAAGATGGGAGAGTGTGAGAGGGCTGGGGGCTCACAACTCCCAGAGACAGATCTGGGGGAAGGAACCTCAGGAGATATACAAACACCACATCACTTTTGAAAACATTTTTTTGGTATATATTAGTTGTACGAAGGGGTTTCATTGTGATGTTTCCATACATATAGACAATGAGCTTTGATCAGATTCATCCCCTTCATTACACTTTCATCTCCTTCCCCTTTAAAAATAATTTTTAACAGGTTTCATTATTCTATTCTCATAGATGTGTATAAAGTACTTTGACCATATTCACCCCCCAACCCTCTTCTTTCAGATTCCCCCCATCTCTGGGTCCTGTACTCTATTCCATTGGTCTGTGTCTGTTTTCATGCCAGACCCTGCTGGTTTTTTAACTGTGGCCCTGTAGTGTAATTTGAAGTCAGGTATTTTGATACCTCCAGCATTGCTCTTTTTGCCCAGGATTGCTTTGTCTATTTGGGGTCTTTTGTTCCAAATGAATTTTGGGATTGATTTTTCTATTTCTGTGAAAATAATATTGGATTTTTAATGGGGATCTCATTGAATCTGTAGATTGCTTTTGGTAATATAGCCATTTTCACAATATTAATTCTGCTGATCTGTGAGCATGGGAGGTCTTTTCATCTTCTTGGTGTCTTCTTCAATTTCCTTCTTCACTGTTTTATAGTTTTTATTATAGCGGTTCTTCACCTCCTTAGGTTTATTCCTAGGATTTAATTTTTTTTTGAGGCTATCAAACATCCTATCTTAACCATTTTTAGCTGGGCATGATGCTAAGTGCCTGTCCTCCTAGCTATGGCAGAAAGTGTAAATAGGAGGATCACTGTCCTGGTTGGGTCAGGCAAAAAGTGAGACCTTACCTCAAAATAACCAGAGCAAAAAGGCTGGAGGCATGGCTCAAGTGCTGCCTAGCAAGCACTAAGTTCTGTGATCAAACCCAGTACTGTCCCCCCAAAAGCATTTTTAAACCAGCATACAGGATGCTGAGGCATGAGGATCTTGAGTTGCAGACCAGCCTGGGCTATATAGTGAGAAAGACAAAAAAAGGCCTTTTAGTTTTCTCAGCACAATGACTTTAGGTTACAAGGCTTTTGTACTTAACCTGCTAACCCTATCAGGAACACCAATTTTGCAGGCACAGCCAGAGCAGTGCTGGGGTGGGATTAAGAACAGTTACTCATCTGTGGGCCAATGCAAAATAAAAACGTCAGCTGCCTTGTCAAGAATTAAGAACTCAAGGTGGCTACAGTAGTTTAGCCAGGAGTAGTTTACCCCAGATGGCCAGGAGTTTAACCAAATCTCCCTCAAAAGTACTCCTGAAGATTTTCATAGCTGGGTTTAGGAACCATCCTAAGTTCAGAATGATTTCATTTTGAGACCTTTAATTACATCTGTGAAGATCATGATTCCAAGTGAGTGAATCTGGAAGGGGCATGTCAGACCCTGACAGCACCCTCAGAATGGTTCTGTGTCTTTGCCCCACTATTTCCTCAGTGCAGCCTGCATCCTGGTTCAGCTCACTCTTTCCTGCCCCTTCCTCCTTTTGGCCGTTCAGCTCAATATAGTGGAAAATGGTGTAGGACCAGGAACCTGAGCATAGGGGTGTCTACTGCTGTCAGGGTTGGGATAGAGCTAGGCATCTCGATGCAGTGCATACACCTGGGAGCTGTAGTGTGTGCTCTGTGGAGGTGGGGATACACATGCTCCTTGAAAGTGGGTGCTGCAGACAGTTTGGGGCAAGGTGAGACAGGAGAGGATGCAGGCTGGCCATGAGTGTCAGACTGGCTAATGGTACTGTGGCTGGTGTGGTTATTGTGAGGTTACCTGTTCTGGGTTGCCAGATAAAATACAGAACAGCTAAGTTTGATTCTGATGTTGAGGTTTACCTCAGTGGTTTGTTTTTACCTTTCCTAAATATGGGTCCCCTGATGCCAGAGGTGTCTGCTGACTTACTCCTGCATCAGGACAGCAAGCTCTCCCTAAAGGGGACGTGGACAGTGTGCCCCAAGCCCACCAGGTCCACAGCTATTTCAAAGCTCACCAGCCCATACCATCCTTCCAATTCCATTCCTGTGCCTGGCTCCCTCCCTCCCCTCACAGGGATGTCGCCTTTCTCCTGGACAGCCCAACCTCTGTGGCAGCCCCACCACCATGGCCAACCTCCCCTCACCCTGCACCTGGACTATGGTCCCTCTTCATTCTGAGTGCTTTCAGTGCCATTCTGGGTGCCTGCTGTGAGGCTGCCTCCTGGATACCCCAGCACTCAGCATTGGGTTGCTTAGGTGCAAGAACAGCATGTAAGGTTTTATTTTTTTGGAGGGGGAGAGGGAGGTTTGAAAGTAATTTTTAAAATTACGGATATTTTCAAGATGTACAAAAGCAGAGAAAATAGTTAATAGCAGACATTCTCATGGAACCTCATCACCAAGCTACAGTAGTTTCCCACATTTGCATTTTTACTGCTACTGAACAGTTTCATATTTGGTTGTAGCTCTTTTTCCTTAACACATCTAATTAAGATATCTAATAAAACATGGATAGTCATAAAATAATTTTTCTCTATGTGATTGCATTGCCAACTTGGAATGTAGTTGTAATTGCTTCCATTTCTAAAATTTAATTTTGTTTTTTTAAGCAGGTGTTGACTGAGCTGTAGCTGTAATCAGGAACACTGAGAGAAACCCCCCTTCTGACCCCTCTCACTCCCCATGTCTTTGCAGTTGCCATCTCATCAACCCCTGGCTAGCCACACCTCTGTTGTTTGGTGAATGTAGGTCAGTGTGTGTGTGTCTGTATTTCTGTCTAACTAGTGTTGCAGTACGTTGTGCACCTGTTGAGCCCTGCTTTGCAACAGCTCAGTGTTGGCGTGAAGAGCACCATTGTGGAGGGAGCCACGTGGAGCCATTTCCCTGGCCCCACACCTTCATGCACACCCTTTTGCACTGTTTCTGTCAGGCATGCTAAGTATGCACACTGTTTGTATAGTTGTTTTTTTTTTTTTTTTTTTTTTTTTGGCAGCGCTGGGGCTAAAAGCTCAGGCCTCATGCATGCTAAGCAAGCACTACCAGTGAGCTGTACTCCTAGCCCATGTACAATTGCTCTTTTTCTTTAAGTGAGGAGAGGAGAAAAATATGAATTTATGTTATCTCTTGTAGTTATGTAATTATCTTAGCTGGTGCTCTTGGTGAGGGTTCACATTTTCACCTGTGGTCCCTTGCTTTCAGCCTAAGGTGCATGCTTTAGCATCTCTTGCAAAGCAGGTTTAGTAACAATTCTCAGTT